ATATTCCCCTCATGTGCTACTGATTTCTGTAAAATATCTGTAATATATATAAGAAAATATGGACTGTCAAAAAGATTACTTACAGATTGGTCCACATTGGTAAATGTCAAAGACGTGCTGCACTTCTGGCTTTATAACCTCCGTCATTAAGCTTCTACATAGATATAACTGACATACTATTCCAAGCAGCATTAAACCAAACTCACTCACTCGCTCGCTCGCTGCTGTGCTGATGACTCAGCATTATTGCTGGAATGTCACGATGACCCTGATACTTCAAAGGAGATAGTTACCTATTGTTTTAACATCTGTTCAAAGTAACGGCAGTGAACTTAGACAGGTCTTACACTGGTAGCACTGAGTGTTGGGATATTTGTTTATTTTCTGTGAGCTATGGGGACAGTATCTGTGTTGAGAGCTTTGAAGACTAAACATAAAGCAATAGAGCTGACATGTTAAGTCCACTAGTCCTCCTAATGTCATAACATATAGCAAAATCCTTAAAAATTGTCTCTTTCACTGGCAATAGGCAGAGCTCATATTCTTCAAATACACTTGTAATAGAACACAACACATAATTTCTTTAGAAAGGGAACATTCTTTAAATATGAGAATAATCCTTGCCTCTAGTTACTGGCAGAGGCATGGGTGGCCCAGCCATCTTAGATGGTTCAATTCACTGTGCAGAGTTGTGTCCCTTGGGCATGCCAGAAACCATTGATCATGGGTTTGAATCCCCTTTCGCCCCGATTATGTTTCTAAGTTTGTCAGTACCATACCCGTGCTCTTGGTTTCAATAAAGTGGTTAACGTCTGAGACCTGAGACGCCTGAGCTTTCCTCCCTCTTTAAGCTGAAATGCTGTGATTTAACTGGAATACTGTTCAAAGTGGCATTAACCCCAACTCACTCACACTATAGTCACACAGACTGTTATAAGCTTAGCTCAGCTAAATCAATCAACTCTTTATTCCAAGATCCTGAAAGTATCCTGAAGAAAAAGCGTCAAAAACAATTACGTTTTGAAAGTAATCTTCCAGTCCACAATAAATTCTGCCAGACTAACATCCGTTCTGCATTATTTATGAGAGTGTGAACAACTGCACAACGTTCCATGGAAGAGGTGCACTAGGTAGTTAAACAAGTGTACCAGTCTATTTTATACCTGAAATGAAAAGTGGTATCTAACAAACCCTTGTATCAACCACCGTGAAACCATTCAGGTGTCTTCCATTTTTGGTAGAATTTCAAACCTTGAATTAATAATTTCGACTACCTACCAACCAAATGTGTTTTAGGCATATTACCTGAAACTCTCTATGTCTTATGAAGTACTGGACCATACAATAGTCTGTGCTGCTTTGTTAAGAATCATGAAATATTTCAATTGGGAGATAAACATACATGTACTGTGTTTTCAATGTAGAGCTATGTTACCTGTAGATTTAACCGTGCTAAATTGAATTTGGAACTGAACGTGCAGCGTAAGGTTTCAAATGTTCAATTTGTTCAATTTCTGCATATCACCATTGTGACGCAAAAGATATAACGTCACAGTCGTGTATAGAAAAGCGCCAAAATTCCAAGCTCTCTGTTGTCTCCAAAACATTAGTACATTCACTTTATAGATTTCTACCATTGTAGTAACCGCATCTGTGCATTTTGTAACCTGTGATTGTAGATATAATCATTTAAATATGCCCACCGACAATGACTGAAAATAATACTATTATATGAATAATAGCTTCCGTGGAGATACGGCTGTCAAACCAGCTGTTTCAATCAGAGGGGGTTTATTGTGATTTAATAGCCTCTGATTGACCAATCAGAATTGAGTAATTTCCAAATTCATGGTAGAATGATTAATTAATGAAGATATCTACATGTGTACTGATACTTGTACAGTGAAAACAAGCCAGTCTGGCAATAAGGAAATTTCTTTTGTTCAGTTTTCAATTTTTTAATCGAGAACTAAAATGTCAAACTATGAATCAAAGGGTAGCCTGGAATCGGAAGTCGCCATTTTGAAACTTAGTGCCATAAAATAATGTTGAGTTCCCTGTCAGTCATTTCACTGGTCGGTCAAAGTTGGCAAAAGGTTGTTCAAGTGTGACCTCATCACGTGATGTTCTGAGATCTTTACTGTAGCTGTAGTGAGCACTAAGATGGGATTTTATTTAGATTGGAAAGTCTAGAGCACCAATGTGGATTTATTGTCGAAATAAATCTGTTTTAGTCATATTGAAATCCCTTGGATTATCATTGGCTGTCTAAAAACTCCATGTCATTCTGATTTTGTATGTTTTATGAATTTTAGATTGTGAAGTCCATCTGATCCGTAAACCAGGCAACAAAAATGTAAGGGCTAAAGGAACAATTGTAAAAATGCCCTTGACAGTCACACCTGATAGTTTCCATGGGCAGCAATTCTAAATTTTTAGTTCCATCCCTTGGAACATGTCATTACGAAATTCTTTAAGATAAAAAATGAGTATTATATGGTACCAGAAAAACTGTCTTTACATCTGATTAAGACCCAGGAAGATCCGGGTTAGAATATGGGATCAGCAACCCATGCTTGTCATAAGAGGTGATTAACAGGATCGGGTGGTCAGGCTCGCTCGCTAGATCGATGCTCAAGATGTCCGTCATTTGATTGTCTTGTCCAGACTGGTCCAGATTATTTGCAGACCGCCGTCATAAAGCTGGAATATTGCTGAATGCAGCATTAAACAACAAACAAAAAAACAAACGTCTGATTTCAGACTTTTTGAATATTACTGGATTATATCACACACACTGAAAGAAATGGTTTTCTTTTCAATTGATATGTATGAATTCACACATGATTTGGTTACGTACCTCTGTGAAAACTCTTCATGATTAAAGTTAAAAAAAGAGTTTATGAAAACCCTGTTATTTGTGCAGAAGAATGAGGTCGCCGCGACCTGGAGGGAGATAATTACAAAAACATGTCTGAGGCAGCTTCATGAGGCTGCAATACTCGTCTCCTCTTACACGCACAAAAAAATGCAAACAAAAACATCCAAACATTTTGTGCAAGTGCGCTTTCATGAGGGCTTCCTGGAATATTTCACAGACTCAGTCTATTTTCCAGTAGTCTTTATCAACAGCGGGGAAAACATGGACTGCTGGAGGCAGTTTCAATAAACATCCATGAGGAAAAAGTCCTATTGTTAATACATTCAGTGTGGAGTGACGGTCCCTGTTGAATGACTGTCAGTTTATTTTGATGAATTTCATGCAGGCTACGGATGGGAAAAGTCCTATTGTTAATACATTCAGTGTGGAGTGAATGCCACTGTTGAATGACAGTCAGTTTATTCTGATGAATTTCATGCAGGTTACGGATGGGAAAAGTCCTATTGTTAATACATTCAGTGTGGAGTGAATGCCACTGTTGAATGACTGTCAGTTTATTCTGATGAGTGCATGAAGGTCATGGATGGGGAAAAAGTCCTATTGTTAATACATACAGTGTGGAGTGTATGTCCGAATCTGAGGTTGGCGGGGCGGGGCGGGGCTCTGAAATTTTTAGAACTCCTCACCCCTGAAACCTTTTTTTCCTGCATACTGAGATTAAATCTTGGCTTCCATTTGCCTCATTCCATGGTGATCTATGAACAAATACAGATGTTCATAACAGTACACAACATTACAAAATGGCAGCCGGATGTCATCCTACCGTGGGGCGGTCGGGTAGCCTAGTGGTTAAAGCGCTCGCTCATCACGCCGAAGACCCGGGTTCGATTCCCGACATGGGTACAATGTGTGAAGCCCATTTCTAGTGTCCCCTACCGTGATATTGCTGGAATATTGCTAAAAGCAGCGTAAAACCATACTCACTCACTCATCCTACCGAGGTGATCCAATTAAACAAATTAAACATATACAGAGAAGGGGTGAAATTTTGACAAGACGAGTGGGACATTAAGTTACAGCAAGCCCTTTGTAATTTTAACTTGCCATGGACCAACGGGCCAGCAGTTACATCGACCCCAATACTTTTCAATCAGCGTTGCACACAACTCTCTTACCAATGTTTTGCCATCAATCTACTGCCACATAAATGTCTTGGAGCATCAGTTTCAGTATTGACCGCGATGAGCTTAGCTTACAAGAAAGAGCTATTTGCTTGACTCAAAATTTATTCTTGTGCTGAATGTTTGTTTGTTATTTGACGCCGTACTCAGATCTATTCCAGCTATATAACTATGGTCTGTAAATAATGAAGTCTGGACCAGACAATGTAGTTATTGCAATCATGACCATCGATCTACGCAATTGGGATACGATTACATGCATTTACCAAGTAAGCAAGTCTGTCCACCTGATGAGTGATCCCATTAAAAACCTCTTACAACAAGGATGGAGACCAGTTCTAGCCTGGATCTTAATGTCATAGACAGGAATGTGCTATTAATAAACTATTAATGATCAAGAACAAAATCTGAGAGATTCGGCTACCTGGTTAATAATGAAGTTGTAGAAATACGTCAGTGTGTTATTTGATGGTATGTGATACGTGCAGATCCTTATTAAATTTTAATGTGAATATAACCGTGAATTCCACAAAATTTCAGATGTTATGTGGTCAATTCTTTATCATGTCTATAGTTGTTCAGATGTAAACAAGAAGACCTTGCCTCCATCTGAGGTAGAACTCGTCCCCACCATCCGTTGCTTTTTGTACAACATGACTTAACGGATCGGGTAGTCGGCCACTGTACACTGAAGTAGTTGCTCGTAACATCAGTCAGTGGATTGTCTGGTCGAGACTTGATTATTCACAGGCTGTCATGCTTTGTGTACCGTTAATCAACAAACAATACAGCAGACAAGGTTTGGTAACTTCCTTAGCCATAACAGCTTTATGGGGCATGTGTTAAAGAGGACTGCCGGAGTTGCCTCCCTTGATGTGTTTTTTTGAAAGTGTCAGTTTCATGCATTAAGATATTATTTTTATTCTCTTGTTTTCCAGGAGTTCCAGAGTATCTACAAGCAGTTCTTTCCACATGGAAATCCAACCAAGTTTGCTCAGTTTGTCTTCAATGTCTTTGACTCAAACAAGGTAGGTATGTAAAGAGATTACTTCTGTCACGGGGCTGTGCTCCTGAGACCAGGGTGCCATTAAACATGAATAAAGTAATAATGGAAAATCTGGTAAAAGTTTCACAGTTTTTATATCAATCGACGACAATTTAAAGGATAACAAAAAAACAATTTACACTGACAATGATCACTGATTAATCATACCAGAGCAAATATACAACCAGACTAGCTAAGCTACTGTATAACTGTAATAAAAAATAGAGAGTAGCCAAATCAACACTTGACAACATACAAAGTAGACTCAAATGATGGACAACAACTTCTTTAATTGCTTTAAAGGCCACGTTTCGGTATTGATCCTTCTACTGTTGTAAAGCTAGACCGAAACATCGCCTTTACAGCAATTAAAGAAGTTGTTATCCATAAATTGTGTCTACTTTGTCATCCGTTAACTTCTAAGTAATGCCTTTCAAACAAATTGACAAGATAATTGGCAAGATGCATAGACAGCCAATTAAGTTAGCCGCGACCAATTAACAACTGGGACTTAAGTAACTCAACACTCTAATGAGTGAGTGCCCTCAATAGGGTTAGATGGGGAGAAATACACACTGAGGGCTTTTCCTGAAAGCGAGTCTCCTGGACAATAAGATGGATAACGCCAACTAGTCTTATAGACTAAAGCCTCAGCCACTAGGACTGGCCAAGGAAATACTTGACTTCTCTAAATACAAGGTAGACTAACAATCAATAAGGGGGCGGTCGGGTAACCTAGTGGTTAAAGCGTTCGCTCGTCATGCCGAAGACCCGAGTTCGAATCCCGACATGGGTACAATGTGTGAAGCCCATTTCTGGTGTCCCCCGCCGTGATATTCCTGGAATATTGTTAAAAGCGGCGTAAAACCCCACTCACTCACTCACTCACTCACTCACTCACTCACTCACTATCAATAAGAAAGGTACTTGATCAAAAGAGTAAGTCGACTCCTAATTGTAAATAAGTACTTGACCTAAATCAGGGGAAAGTTAGTTATCCACGGATTACTAGAAAAACAGGGTACAAAATATTAAAGCCTGGCTGATAAGTTTTAGCTCAATACCACCAGAGTAAGTCGGTTACAGAGAAAATTGCCCCATAACCACTGCCTTAGCGAAACCTGAGTTTCGACTGACCACCCAGTAACATTTCTTTCAGTGGCATTTAGAAGTTGGTGTGATGAAGTAAGACGAGTTCTATTACAACTAGTGCGACATTTCGGTGTAGATCCTAACACCTTTATCAAGCAAGCATCACTTGCTTGATAAACGGAGTATGCCGGACCTTACAAAATAGTGATTTCGCCGTACAATTTAGGGGGAGGGAAGCGGTATGGTCACTAGACCTGCCTAGACTGGTTTTACAACCCGTTGACACTTCCAGAAGCCCTTCATGTGCACTCGCATGTAATAAGAAAGTGTTGTTTTTTTGTATGTTTGTCCAAATATGTATATATTCTGAACACAAAAATATACTTAAATCATTTTTCCCTCCCCTTCATCCGAATGAGTGAGTGCGAATGTTTTAGAATTATTCAAGCAATATCATGGCAGAAGACACCCAAAATGGGCTTCAAACATTGTACCCATTTTGGGAATCAAACCCGAGACTTTGGCGTGACAGGCGAACGCTTTATCCACTGGGCTAGTTGACTGCCCCTCCCCATGAGTTTCTGTATGTAGACAAATATAGAATACTAAACGAGCTCCCGTGTAATACCAATTTTATGAAACGAGTGAATAGTTGTGGTATCTGACAAGCGAAAGCGAGTCAGATACCACAACTATTCACGAGTTTCATAGGGGCGGTCGGGTAGCCTAGTGGTTAAAGCGTTCGCTCGTCACGCCGAAGACCCGGGTTCGATTCCCGACATGGGTACAATGTGTGAAGCCCATTTCTGGTGTCCCCCGCCGTGATATTGCTGGAATATTGCTAAAAGCGGCGCAAAACCAAACTCACTCACTCACTCACGAGTTTCATAAAATTGGTTTTACACGGGAGCAAGTTTAGTATTTAATTTATTACTTGCCATTTATAACGTTTTTAGAATTATACTGTTGAGTATGAACAGGCTGACACCTACATGATCCACGGCATAGTCCAATTGAGTTTAACAGAATAATACTTCAAACACGTCAAAAGTTGAAACGTATGCATTTAATACCATACAACGGTCCACCTTAAGAATTCACAAAATTATCGTAGGGCTAAGACTATCGCAACTCACATACTTTAACAGACTAACGACTGTCATTGCACTACAATACTATTGCCTTGTGGAATGGGCCTTGCACCTCAAAGTTTACAATAAGGTCACAATACCCAATGACTTAATTTGTGGAATTTTGTTGCAAGATCCATCTGTGTCAGCCTAACAACAAGGTTGCTGGGGGTCATCGAGTGTGCATAAGCTCCTCTCAGTGATCTATCAACTCCACACCCAATGTCCTTGAATAAGCCAAGGGATGTTGAGAGCTTTCAACATTTGTTCTTTTAACGTGTTCAGAGAGTACATAAGCACACGTTTTGGTATTACACAATGTGTAATACACCTGTATGTTTATTAAACGGGTGATCTCTTAACGGGCAAGTAATAAATGAAGCCCTTTGATTATTACAGACAATGTTAGGGCTGGGACAATACACCCACTGTGCAATTCGATACGTATCACAATACCTTGCTCGCACTCTGATACCTATCACGATACTTGCATGTGCTCTTGTCTGTGGTGTGTAAGCCATCTTTTTCACAGACAGGATGGCCAAATACCTGGCACACTAACAGATTACATTTGGCAGTGTCGAGTATGATTCAGTGGATGAAAATATTTACGTTTTCACTACTCATTTTTACTTGTAATTAGTGGTTGATGTAACATGTTTATTAAAGAATACATTAAGGTAAGAATAAATACTTTTTACTTAGTGTGCAAATGTGATCGATGCTTGTATAGAGAAGTAAAACTAATCTCGATCCACCAATGTATCGGCACATCGTCCCACTACGAGTAAATGTGCTTTTTTTCCCTTCTTTTCAGGATGGATATATAACATTTAAAGAATTCATCTGTGCTTTATCAGTGACGTCAAGGGGGAACTTGGATGAAAAGTTAGATTGTAAGTACTGTACCGTGAGTACTGTTATGTAGCATTAGGACATGAGTACTGTATATCTGGAAAGTATTGCATCATGAAATTATTGCTTAAACAATAACCAATAGCCTTAACTGCGTCTAGAAAGTTTTACAACACCCTGTTGAAGAGATTACCAATGCTCAAAGCTGTACTTTTGCACATGTTATTTTCTATGAGTAGGAGGTGAAGTTAAAAGTTAACTCAATATCAGTCAGTGATTGTTATCCCCGCAGTGCGTTTTTCAGGAGGTATTAGATTGGACTCCTTCCATCCATTCAAGATGTCGTTTTTTTATGGAGCCAATCTTGAAAACGGTAAATATTTCCTCACTAAAGTTGGCACACAGATAGGTCGAGTGGTGAACTGGTGCCTTTTGATAATTTGGGATTTTTTAAACAAATATTTTTTGAGTTTCCATAGTTACAACTTTGACTTTATAGACTTAAAATGGCAGTAGTGCTCGTTTCCAGAGTGGACTTTAAAAAACATGTAATGTTTCTTCACCAAACTTAGCACATAGATAGCTCTAGTGGCGAACTGTTGCTTTTTGATTGTGATTTTTTTTTCAACAAATATGTTTTGAGTTTCCATGGCAACATGTATACTACAGCATATGCCAGATTTTCCATTGTCACTTGGGCTTGGTTGTGAGCAGACACTTTCTTGGAACCAAACACTCAAAGACACTTTATTAAACACATTTAATAATTAAGGAAGCAGAATCAACATCCTGAACATTTACATGCCATAAGCATGTTTCTCAATCATCAGCAGATTGTGGGCCCGATACCAACAAACACATAACGTTGATTGATTTTCCTCTGGACTCCCAAGGGCAACAACTCCAGCCCAGGACAGATGAGTCAGAACGATGGTGTTATGAAATCGGTTGCAAACTGCCACTCAGATAAGGGACTGGTTGCAACAGGCAACTGGTTTGAGAGTACGTACCCAGGCAGAGGTTCACTCTCCACTTCCGTGACCGAAACAACGGAGATGTCCTAATGTGCATTTTAGGGACGTTGATAATGCATGTGCTCATCGCACCAGGATTGTGACCCAATTCACCCAACAGCAAAACAGCCATGTCATGGCCAGCACTCAGCCCTGACCTTTCTCCCATGGACCACATCTGGGACGTCATTGACATACGTGTACGCCAACGTCAAAATCCACCCCACACGACTCTCAATGATCTCGGTGTTGCTCACACTGATGAGTGTAACAACATGTCATCAGTCAAGCTGACAATGGTCGACTCTTTAGAAGTATGCCACGAAGAATTGGTGCACGCCTGGCCAACAGAGGTGGTTTCACACGATAAGTGACACTGGCTGCAAAATGCAAATTTCAAATTTGATCCCTGACCTATTTAACGACCTGGTGCCTCTCCATCTTATCACACCAACCATTGGAACCCATTTGATCTGATCCCCGCTAGTACTCCCCAGCAGATATGATCATATCATTTCCATTTGCCAGTACAACATAGATCAGAAGATATGTCTTGATGACATATCCCCTAATTTCTTTGCATAGTATATACATTCACGATAAGTATTTTGCAGGGATATTGGTGACTGCAACAATAACAGCTTCATGAAACTATTGTGTGTGTCACTTGCAGTTTTCGCAGTACGTTCCTGTTCGCAAAACTTTCCAGATTTACAGTATTTTAACATATGTACTGTAGTGTAAGCACTGTAACATATGTATCAATATCTGGCTGTTGAGTCTAGGCTATTCCTGTCAGAATAAATATTCATTGTTCATAAATTTCATCCTCAGTTTAAAATTGATCAACTGATATAGAAATTGGCATCAGTCTTCAAGCCCGAGCAAGTTGTCTGATGTGGGAGGTGCCCCAGTACCAGTGAAAAACTAGAAGTTCAAACTATTGGAGGAGTGTGACAATGTTCAATCGTCACAAAAAAATCTAGCCAGACAGCCGGACTGGCAACTCCAAAGTTACCTGCCAAATTGGAAAGTTGCCAAATTTTAAACAATTTTTTATTCATATATTTAACAAATATGATTTTAAAAATCCACATGACAATCAGGCATTCATTTTCTTAAAGTTAACTGGCTGAGACGAAAACACATCATCTCGGATTGTCGGAGAGGTAGGAAGGTATTTCCAGGGCTGGTGTTAATATGATATATATGATATATATAATAAAATGCTTCACATCAGCTCAAAGAAGAATGTTGTCCAATGAATTTTCACGAATGTGGAATAAAATTAATCTTTTGCGATTCCCTATTTTCCCCAGGACCATTGATTCTAATTGCATTGGTGAAAACAAAATGAAATTAGGCCTAGATATATCCAAGCAATTTCACTGCAAAATTGGTATTGTGATACATTTTGCAACATGAAGAAGGAATCATGATATGTTGGTTGTTGGTTTGTTTGTTGTTTTACGCCGCACTCAGCAATATTCCAGCTTTATGACTGCGGGCTGTAAATATTCGAGTCTGAACCAGACAATCCAGTGATTGATATTACGAGCAGCGATCCACGCAATTGGGATCGATGACATGCATCAACCAAGTCGGCGAGTGTGACCACCCGATCCCGTTAGTTGCCTTTTACGACAAGCATAGTCATCTTTTACGGCAAGGATGGGTTGCTGAAGACCTATTCTACCCCTGATCTTCACGGGTCCATGATGTATTGTATCCTGCCATACAGCCAAGGATGGTCACAGTTTACTTGATAATATTTTTGTTGTGTTCATTGTAATTCCTACATTCTGATTAGCTGAATTGGTCACGTGTTATTGCATTCATTTACCAAAGAATGCTCCTACGCGGATTCATACAGTTTGCACATCGGTTTTTCGATTCTTACCTCAGTGAACTGAAAAAAATACACAGTCAATCCTTAAGTGAAACTGTGAGTTTGGAAGCAAAAGCATCAAGTAGGGCGAGGCATTTGATTTGTTTGTTTAATGCTGAATTCAGCAATATTCCAGCTAGATCAGGGCGGTCTGTGAATAATCGAGTCTAGACCAGACAGGCCAGTGATGTACATCATAATCATCAATCTACGCAGTTGAGATACGATGACATGCATCAACCAAGTCAGTGAGCCTGACCACCGATCCTGTTAGTCGCCTCTCACGAAATGCATGGGTTGCTGAAGATCAATTCTAACTTGGACTTTCTTGGGTGGTATTGACATCCATAACTAAATAATGAACTGTGTTTCAAGCATGTTTAATAATTTGGAAATTTGTATTTTCCATTGGGTCAGTAATTTCTCTTAACATGTACTTTTTCAAAACGTTTAATAAACTTCTTTGTTTGATAAGCCTTTTTATATATTTTAGCTGTCATTTCAAGATTTTTTGTCAATTTGCTTCCTGCGTCTTGGCATACTGATTTTAAAAAAAGCAATTTATTTTTCTTACCTTATGAGTGCCAGTGTTAAGGTAAGAACAATAAATTGCGGTTTTTGTTTTTTGTTTTTTAAAATCAGTATGTTAAATCACTATTTGGCTGAAATATTGCCGATGTGACTTTGAATCTTAACTCACTCACTCACCCCGCCAGTGTTAACCATATGACTGTACATGCTTTCCAGGGGCTTTCAACTTGTATGACCTTGACAACGATGGATACATAACCAAGGCCGAGATGGTGGATATCGTCGATGCCATCTATTGCATGGTGGGTAATCTGCTTGATCTTCCAAAAGATGAAGACACACCAGAGAAAAGAGTCAACAAAATATTCGACCAGATGGATCTGGTAAGTAGATCACAACAGTTTATGATTTGGAGATTTGACATTTGGTAAACATGAATAATAAGCAGCTTCCATTTCAGTCTTCAGAAATAACACAACTGAATTTCTTTTTTAAAAAAACAACAATAAATAAATACAAATGATTCCATGGCATTTGATTAGCTAACCGTGGCGGTCGGGTAGCCTTGTGCTTAAAGCGTTCGCTCATCACGCCGAAGACCCGGGTTCGATTCCCGATATGGGTACATTGTGTGAAGCCCATTTCTGGTGTCCCCTGCCGTGATATTGCTGGAATATTGCTAAAAGCGGCGTAAAACCATATTCACTCACTCACTCACTGATTAGCTAACCAAGCTATTTTGTGGCGATTCTGAACGTGCATTTTAAACAAGAAATTATACATCAACCATAACATGGTTTAAGGCAGAGAAATCACTCGAATAGACAGATTCTGATGATATTTCCATTACGTAATGCACTGGATAATGCAAGAAAATGTTTCAATAAGATTGTCTCTGTGGGGATTCCAAGTGGGGATAGGTCCCCTGCACAGATGTCTATTGAAAGCTGACTCTATTAAAGATCAGGCAGTCACAAAGCTTCATGCAAGTGAATGTGTCAGTGTACAAATAGTGTTCAAAGTGACGTATGAAAGTCAAGAGAAACAAGGTCCTTGCTGTAGCCCTAAAGTTGAAAGGTAAAGATTGGGTGAGTGAGTCAGTCACCGTGAGTCCCTAGATCCCTTGCACTACAGGAGCGTTCTTCAAGGATAGGACCATAAAGCCTCTTACTTTCGAACATGGAAAGTATTTCGCTGACTGTGACGTGAAACAGAATTCGCTCACATGTTGCAGAATTGAGTGATTGTATGTTAAAAAACTACAATGATGGTTGTCAGAATTTTGAAACCTAGATACTACAGTTATATCAGGGATTTGACAATGAAAAACCATTCTTTGTGTTTGGGATAGTAAACTATCTAATAAGATGCTTGTTCGATGTGAGTTGGAAGACTCACAGATATATTCTTCATGCTATTTCTGTTTGATGTGTCAGGCCTCAAAGTTCAAATTTTTTTTAAGTACCTTTCTCCAGGTAGACAGTGGTAAAATTAAGAAGTCAAGCCAATAGTGTAGGTAGCCAAAAGCATTTGAAATGATGCTTTATCAAATAACTATTATATGTACAAGTCATAGCATTAGTCTTTGAATTGTATATTAGTGAAAACTGTACTTGAGTTTTTTTATGTGACTCGAACAATGATGCAATTTATGTTACTGGATTATATAGGTATATCCTTGCTTATCCAATAAACTATCAACAGCAATAGGTATGTAATTCAGGTCATTGTTGACTTTAGGAGGAATAATTTGCGAGTACAATTAGTAGCAGACACGTTTATTTTTGTGACTACATATGTGTAACAATAGAATTTAGTCGCCACAAGATATTTTTCAAGGTCATTTGGCTACCTCTGAATTTTAGACAGTAGACAAATTGAAATTTAGGTCACATTGGCAACCATTTTAGTCGCAACTTTGAGGACTGGATAGGCATTTCATTTGCACAAGAGGCCTGTGTGTCCAATCCAGTCTCATTAAAATCAGATCTAAAAGTTCACTACTGCTAGACATAGATCTGAGGACATCATGTCATAGATCATGTCATAACGATCTTTCATCCAACCAATCAAATAGCTGCAAAAGAGAAAGTCTGAGTGTGTTTTCTAATGATGCAACGGCAAACTTTTAAACTGGAATGACAGTATCGGCTGTACAACTGATTCCCTCAAAGTCATCGTCTATCGCTCACTTCAATTGGATAAACTTTTGTAACTTTGAGACTTTCCATAGGCCGTGAGAGGTACGGCCCTACAATCTCGGCCATAGATTAGACATTCCAGAATGTTCTTTTATTTAGTTATTAAATTTTTAATTGTGAACTTTGCCAAAATATGTTTTGTATAGTGTAGTCTGAAATGGAAGTAGCCATTTTGAAACTAGTGCTGTAAAGCTTGAGAAAGCTCCTTTCTTGATAATGTCGACAGTGCCGTAGCCAGCCGGGGGGCAGGGGGGGCAGTTGCTCCCCTAGATTTTCAATAGAAAACAGTTTTATTTGAATCAAGTTGGGGACAAGTGATACTTGTACAAATATTTGCCCCCTCCTGTCAAAAAAAGTTAACTACGGCCTTGGTCGACTTCCTGTGAGTAATTTCATTGGTCGACCAATGTGTGTGAAAGGTTGTACTGACGTGACCTGTCATGTGACGTCCTCAGATCTTTGTTTAGTGGTAGCGAGCACAAGGATCTGATTTTCATGAGATTGTGTCCAGTCTGGTTTGAAATGGAGGCTCTTGTTGCCTTCACAGTCACAAATGATTGATGTTTATAGAAGTAAATGATACAGTGTGATTTCCTTCCACAGAACCATGATGGAATGTTGACAAAGGAAGAGTTCCGAGAAGGTTCCCGGAATGATCCGTGGATAGTCCAAGCGTTGTCCATGGAAATTCCCCAACACTGACATTTTCACGAGTGATCTTCCTTTTTGTAACAGAAAACCATGAAGTTATCTCCCTTGCCAAAGGAAGAACTGCTTTGCTGCACGTGACACCCAGCTTAGTACCTTCAGAAAGACCTTTCTCGGAAAAGTGAATCTTGATCAGTTGACCAAAACAACAACATTCAAAATGGTGTTGAAACATATAACTTTATTTTACAAATTTATAGATGACATTAAATTCAAGGTGCAAGATCAGTAATTTTCAATTACCAATAGAGTGTTGTATTTTTTTCACATTCTGAAAAAAAATAAAATACTTCTTTGCACACTGAAAGAACAAGGATGATATGGGGCCTTTTGGGGGCAAATAAATGTCCAATGTTTTAAGTCACTGAAGACTTTCAAATATTGTTATGGAATTTTTCAGCCCTGTTCAAAAGGACAATAACAAGCAATTTTACAGTATTAATAGGTGGCTTCCGCATGTCATCGATCCCAATTGCGTGCATCGATGCTCATGATATCAATCACTGGATTGTCTGGTCCAGACTTGATTATTTTTCAGACCACTGTCATATAGCTGGAATATTGCTGAGTCTGGCGTATAGCAACAAACCAAAAAACAAAAAGACATGATCAAGAAAATGAGTGAGGCTGAAATGAGGGGAAAAGGCAAAAAAAATTCCCCAAGAAGGATGTTCACCATACAACGTATGTTTTTACTGTCTGGATCTCCATGTACTTCATATAAACCAGGGTCAAATGTTATCTCTAAATATGAGCGATCAAAAACATTTCCATAATCAAAAGAAATCTCTGCAAAAAGCAGATTCCATTCCAACCATATCATAAGCTTGTGCCTATAATTCCCTATCAAATAGGTGAGCGTATCCTCGTCCACCGGTGGTTTACTCATCACAAACACATGCAAAGGCAAGTCAATCGTTCACCTGAAAACACATGGGAAAATATGGTACAAGTCAAAATAAAAAATTGTTTGGAACTGTCCTCCACATGTATACCATAAAAAGTTTTGGAAGCTTTTATGAAAAATTTGTCCAGCTTTAAGTTTATATATTTGATAAGTTTGAAACATGACAAGCCTAATTCTCACGAATTGTTTCCTGTGTGATGACATATGCACCAAAAGGGCCCGTATCATACCTTGTCTTCTTGTATTTGTTGAAAAATATTTGGCTGAAAAAACTTTTATTTATTTGAAGTATTCCCACCCTCACACCATTAATCATGATCACAGTTTATGTATACACATTCCCTAAAGTCCTGCTCATCAACGTCCATTTGATATTTCAAGATGAATTTGTCAGCCTACAGTGACACTCAAATAGACTGGCTTCTGTCTGTGTTTGTGCTGCATCACCTTTATATAGAGATTGAATATGAGCTATTCTCGGCTATCATCCCAGGGGTGAGATACCCAGTTGTTCAAGGCTGACAAGTTATGCAGGGCAGAGAAGTACAAGCTACAAAATGAGATTTGTTTTCTCATAAACAAATGGAATATATACCACTCAAAAGAAGTAAAGGACCATCCAGTTACCGTATTCGACGTAATAAGCGCCCAGGACGCTCTTAAAATTAAAAATAGGGGGCTCTTATTAGAATTTTGGTGAAAAACACCTAGAGTTGATCGTAAATTTCGAGGTTTATGCTGACAGCCTGAATGATACAAAAGAAAAGTCTGTGTATTATACACGACAAACATATTTTTCCAGAATTGAATTGCCCGTAATTAAGGGTGCGTATAACACACGAGTGTGTATTATACACTAATAAATAAGTCTTGTGTACATTGATCAATCGGAAGAGGTGCCATTTGGGATTGTTCACCAGCCAATAGATTAGCAAATATTGCCGTGGGTGCTTATTAGATCTGGGCGCTTATTACGTCGAATACGGTATTTCATATTACTATTGTTAATCTGTCATGTAGTTTCCAAGGTGGTTGTGCCCCTTGAGTGGGGCAGGATCCGCTGGTCCTAGGTTCTAATACTAAATAACCGCCATAGGGTGGCCCACTACAACAGTGCTTGTGGTTCCCCCAGTGTTTAACATCTTCGGCCTGCTTCAATATAGCATGCTCCCACATAACACTGATGAACAGTGATATGCCGTAAATACTTGTATAATGTCTGTTAGAATCAATGTTAGGTCAACCCATGCAATGAAAGAATGCCTGCCATGAATCTTATCACAAGTTACATTGAAAAAAATATTTGTTTAGTGTCCCTTTTTAAAACTTTAGCTTACTGTATTTTGAAAATGGACAAAGGGGGGTGCTTATTGAAAAAATACATAACGAGTTTAATTTTTCAGAGATGAGGCAGTAGTGAACAAAGTTAGTTCAAAAAATTTAAACTAAATCTTTTCGGTAATAGTTACCTGACAATTATATAGCCTATCTGTGCTGCTGAAAATATGGACTGTCACGTAAATTGTCAGTCTCATTCAGGGGCGTAAATTATACAAATAGGTTTTCAGGGGGTGCTTATTAGAAAAGGGTGCTTCAAAGGGCGAATACTTAGATGAATATGGTTGAAAAGAATTGAAAGTATCTTAAAATTGAAATTTTGATCTGTTCCGTTAATTAATAGTTGTTAGACACTGAGAAGAAACACCTGAACTGAAATTTAGAAAGAATTTGAAGCAAATGCCTCTGTGGCAACATTAGTTGATAAAAACACCTGTATTTATTAAACAATGGGTCCAATGACAGTCTGAAATAAATGGGCGTAAAAGTCAGAGGATCATTCAAGGATTTGTGCTGACTGAAATACTGTTCATAGTGACGTAACTAACCATGCTTGTACGTCATCATGTCACAAGTGCTGTTCATAGTGACGTAACTAACCATGCTTGTACGTCACCTTGTCACAAGTGCTGTGAATGTGAACATGGAGCCTGTGTCAGAATTCCTTTCTGGTGAGTTACCGTATTCGACGTAATAAGCGCCCACGGCAATATTTGCTAATATATTGGCTAGTGTGCAATCCCAATTAGCACCCCTTCCGACAAGACTTATTTTTTCGTGTATACGATGCACTCGTGTGTTATATGCACCCTTAATTACGGGCAATAAAATTCTGGAAAATATATCTGTCGTGTATGATACGCACAGATTCTTCTTTTGTATCATTTCAGGCTGTCAACATAAACCATGAAATTTACACACCAAAATTTCTCACCAAAATTATGTTCTAATAAGAGCCCCCTATTTCTAATTTTGAGTGCGCCCTGGGCGCTTATTACGTTGAATAGAGTACTTTGTTACTGTTAAGATTTCACTCTTGTACATACACATCTCCATATTTGTATTCTGTGCTGTTGTTTGGCTCTGTTCACTTTTGTAATCATTTCATATTGTGACAGTGTCAGATGTTTTAGCTGTGAAACAAATTTCATTTTCACGGCGATATTAAACATGACTATTTTCAAATGTTAGCTGCAAAGAATCATAAAAAGTTGGTTCTAAGCCTTTAAATTGTTTTGAGTAATAAACGCCGGCAATAAGATTGATTGCCTTTAGTGTACATTACATGTTGAAACCATTTCGTTTTTTGGAATTGTAAGAAAAATTAATTGTAATACAGGATGCTTGAGAAAGGAACGTACAGTATATTTTCAACTTTAATCTACAAAATATTTTTTATTGTGATATTTGGTACCATAAAAGAAAATTTTAGGTTGATTACGAAAATAGTACGTGTAGAATGAATATTTTATTTTTTGCAGTTTCAAGCACTTGATTCAAGTTGATAAATTTAGAGGTCTTTGGTATCAGTGAATAGCTGTGACGAGTTTCCTCAGTGTTGTGTTCCGATGTCAGTGGATGTGTGTGAAGATGCACCAAGTGCCAGGACAAGATCCCACGCTGTCTTAACCCTGTGCTTCTTACACACTGGAATTACAAAGCCTTGTGGGTTAGGAGTGCTTGTTGAAGTGTCCCACAGATATTTTCCTGTTGTTTCACAAAGTGCTGCCAAATGGGTACCTTCTTCCGCTGTTACGTTTCTCCTAGTTGTTGTGTGGCCTGTGTGGAACCTTGCTGAAACTCTTGAACACCATCACCAGGATCGATGCATGGAGTGAGCAGGGAGTTATCTGCCCCAAATCTGGAGCAAATGTCCGTAATACTTCCCAACTGGAATTAACAATGTACCAAGTCATGCTATTGTGATAACTAATGTTACAGTTTTGCAAGCTGACTTGTATTTCACTGATAGCAGGACCAATCAACAAGGCTTTTAATTTTTAGTTTACATTTTTGCATTGAATTTTATGTTAAAATTCTGCTGAAATCCTAGTTTTGAACATAATTGCGTTTTTTCACCAGTTTACCTGCCAAAAACACTTTGTTTGGAATCTGAGATCATCCATGGTGAGAAAGTGAAGTGATACAGTGTAAACAACCCTTTTGGGTAGAATTAGGCTCTAGTATTTGCATTTGTTTAATGACCCAGCATTTTTGACTGCAGTCTGTAGTAAATAATCAAGTCTCGACCATACAAACCAGTGGTTGACATCATGAGCATCAATGCATGCAATTGAGATATGTTGACATGCCATGAACCAAATCACAAACCTGACCACCCAATTCATTAAGTCACCTCTTACAACATGCATAGTTTGCTGAGGATCTTTATTCTTACCCAGAATGCCCACTGACGTCTCCAGATCGATGTTCATGATGTCAATCACTGGATTGTCTAGCCCAGACTCGATTATTTACAGGCTGTAGTCATATAGATGGAGTACTGCTGCTTGCTGCGTTAAGCAACAAACAAACAATACTAAATACAGAAACTACCCTGGCCAAATCGGTAATTCAAAAATGTACCCAAGCTGATCATCGTGTTGCACCGAAGCCACTTGACGAGTCCATTCAACAGACCACAAAACTGGATTCACTGCATGCTTCCAGTGTTAGAAATTGGCACTTACTGTATTTGACGCAATAAGCGCCCACGGCAATATTTGCTAATATATTGGCTAGTGAACAATCCCAATTAGCACCCCTTCAGATTGATCAATGTCCAAATGACTTATTTTTTCGGGTATAATACGCACTCGTGTGTTATATGCACCTTTAATTATGGGCTGTTAAATTCGGGAAAAATATATCTGTTGTATATAAACATTTCAGGCTGTCAGCATAAACCACGAAATTTACGATCTTTCAACCAAATATTTTCACCAATATAATATTCTAATAAGAGCCCCCTATCTCTAATATTGAGAGCACCCTGGGCGCTTATACATCGAATACGGTATTATAAGTCCTTGCCAAACTGCCCAACAGTTAAGGTATCATAAGGACTAGTAGAAAGTTGCCCTTTTTAAGGGTTTTGCTATATGTTATTACATTGACGAGTGGACCAAAAATGTTAGTTTCTACCGCTGCTGCTTCCAATACTCCAAACTGCAACGAAAACATGGCTGTGTTGAGTTGGAGAATCAGATGTTCCATTTATTATACTGATACATCAACACTACTGACGCCACTTTGGAACAGCTATGTACATCCATACTTGACATTATAAGTGAAAACGAAACCAGTTTGGTGCCTTGTTAAATCGACATGCCACTTTGTGTCATAGGTTGTTATTAAAAAGTTGAGTTTATGTGAACCCCAGGCACTACTTGTTACCAACAATGTTTCTTCATAGTAGGGCTGGGACGGGTCCAAATTTACTACCCGGGTACCCACCACCCTATTACCCGACCCTGTAGATATTTAGAGATAGGTTACTAGTGACAAACTGTCTGATTTGGAAAAGTTTGACTGTAGCCCTGGCAAAATGTATTTAGATACACGTGTAAAACGATCCACTCATGCATACACTGAAGTTTAATGCATGAAGTTTTATCTTTATTCAAACATATAAAAGTCAGAAGGAGTGGGTGCATTGTCAGAAAGAAATGGGAACATTAGTGACTTATAGTGTAACCATAGAGTTTTAGATAATTTTTGTTGTTAAACAATATATATCACGTGACTAACCACGGGTCCGGGTAGTCCTGTGTGTACCCGGGTCCTACTCAGGACCCACCCAACCCGAGTACCCGAGTTACTCGTCCCAGCCCTACTTCATAGTATGTGATACTTCCAATCTCATTAAAATCAGATCTTAGTTCTTGCTTACGCTAAACAAAGATCTGAGGACATCCCATTACTGGTCACGTCAGACCGACCTTGCACGAACTTTGACCGACCAAAACAATGACCAATCAGAAGGTAGTTTTCTCGTGCTTTACGGCACTAATTTCAATTTGGCGACTATGATTCGAAACATATTTTGACAAATTCTCGATTACAAATTTGAAACCTAAATAAAAGATCATTCTGGAATGGCTAATAGATGGTCTAGATTGTACTATTGTTTGGAATACCCCGTGTTAAAGTTTTCGTGGTTGTATGATTAGAAATCACATTCCGACTCACTTTTATGATCTGGTAAGCTACGCTCTCATTGGTCGGATGAAAGGTCGTTCTGACGTGACCCCTAATGGGATGTCCTCAGATCTTTGTTTAGCGGTAGCGAGAACTAAGGTCTGATTTTAATGAGATTGGTGATACTTCACATAATTTGTGAAACAGAAACAGGTGGTCACCTTGTTTAACTATTTGCCCGGTCATATCAGTGTCATGCAGTGTCCAGTGAGGGCACATTTCTGTATACAGAAGGGTGCCTTGCGTACATTTCACTAGTACCCTGCACGACAGTGACTCCTCAGTAATACTGCCACATGTCAGA